TTAGAAGAGAATTACCAACAGAATATCCATGAGTGACCGATCAAGAAGGATCAAAAAGTATTTTTTTGTTTATCCAGACTGTACATACATGGACATTTATGATTTGTTAAAAATCTTAATTATATGCAATAAGAACATAATGATATGATTAAGAATACATGATAATTTATTAGAAACACCAATTAATCAAATAGTTTGCTTAATTGGACACTAAAAAATAATAATAACTCATCTTTAATACAATTGCACTCAAAAACGCAAATATACTGATAGTTAAAAACCATAAAAACATAAACTACCTATGACTGATTCTTCACAAAATAGATAGACTATGATAGATATTTGACTAGATATCTCATCCAATTATTGCAACATACAAAAAATACCATGGCAACCATATAATATAAATAATGATATTAAAGGGATTGTTAAGAGGTTTTCTAGACTTTTTATTTTTATTGGAGACACAGATAGCATCGATTTGCATTCCAATAAATAACTATTGAAAAACTGATTATAATATCAAATATCTTTGTGATAGCTATGTCATAAAAAGCGTAGTTTGAATCAAATTACAAGAACCACAGATACACATAAAAAGTAAGAAAACAGCTTTACAAATCCCCTTTAAATAATGATGATTATTCTGATAATGATGATTAATCAGATACTAATAATGATGATGATGAACATAAGAATGACGATAAAATTTGACTAGATTTCTCATCCTCCATTGAAATATTATAAAATAACATTAAAAATATAATTTACATATTTACAATTTTATTTACAAAATATAGTCTTTTTATCTTATTATGTTTGAATTTTCAAAAATTAGAATTCTTAATTTTGTAAAAAAAAGTATGGAATACCATGAGATTCTTCTTTTGACATTTAATCATCTCTTTACTTCAATTTTGCAATAGACAAACATATAATGATATGGCTTTTACATTGTGAAATGATATGAAAATGATGCTTGATATGGCATGACATCAGCTCTAAAAAAGTAAGATACTTTCTCGGAACACCTGATGCCACTGTTTTGTATTTGTCACCTCTGCATTCCAATAGTCCACATAACTCCACATAACTCATACTACACTACTTTGGTTTTTCTATGTATAAGTTTTCATTCAACTATGAATGAACAGCATATGGATCATGATGTGAGTAGGGGGGAGGTTGATATAATGGCGGTGTGAAGGGAGGTAATCCATGACCGACACCCACAGTTGGATTATCCACTAGAGGTGGAGCTGAAAAAAAAAAAATGTTTTATTTTCTATTCAGTTTAGCAAGACAAGAAAACCTATGATGAAGAATTAGAAGCTTGTGAAGATGACCATTCTGTAGAACCCTCAGTGGATTAAGAATTGTGTAAATCTGAATTTGGCTTTCATTTTCCATTTATATATTAACTTACCACTTGGTCTAACAGGATATGGAGGAGGGGGAGTTGTTTCTGCTGCTTTATAAGCAGATGAATTTTTCCCGCTCTTTTTCTTTTTACAACAGCAGCAGATGACCAGAGCAGCCATTAAAGCAATGAGAATGATTACAGCACATATTATACCAGCTATCAGTCCAATAGACATAAAAAATACTCCTTCTTCAGTTATACTATCACCTGCAGATTACAAAGAAAATATTTTACATCTCAATGTTTGTCAATGACACTTTGGTATTCCAAATGAATTAAGACATTTCTCTATGACATCAAAAATAATTGTTATTGTGTGGGTTGATCAAACCATAACCATGTAAAATTTTAAGAAAAATAGCCAAACTTAGTCAGTTTAGTAATTTTCAGAACATCATCCTTAATGATCTGACTTAAGTTGTTTTTTCAGTTCACATGGCAATACATTTTCAAAGATTTTCTAAATTTGTGTATATTTATCAAATATTTCTATATGAAAACTTCTAAAAAATAATGTCTCACTTACTTTCTTGTACATCAATTTGAAAATCATAATTTTTATTATTATTCAAGGCTGTTTTTTCTAATTTCACTGTAAAATATCTTTCAGTGGTACAAATTCTGGATGGCATAGAATCATGGCATTTAAACATATTCTGAAATGTACAAAGTACGAGTAAAAATTTGAGGTCTTTGTCTAACCTCTAGCTTTAAGCTATTCAAAATTTATTGAATTTGAGCTTATAATTTCTGTAGGGGATATTCTTAGCTAGGCAGTGAATGTTGAATCCTCTAGGACACCTTTTGGAGAGTTTGCATGACTATAATTGTTTTAATTAAAATGTAAAGGATGAGAATGAAATTTTCTTAAAATTTCAAATTTTTTCGTTGTCAGGTTTGTCTTAAACGTCTAATACCAGTACCTAGAGTTACCTACCCTATTACTCCCCGAACTTGTACTTCTCTCATAAATCTTTAAAACAACTCGACAATCTTCGATAGAAAATTTTTTAAAAGTTAAACATAATCCCTTATCCCTCCTTGCTTTAAACGTGATGTCACAGTGAAGAGTTTCATGGTTAAATCCACCTCCAGTTGCGAAGATTGTATATATATCTCCATCTATATTAATGTCATCACCTTGACAATGGGCCCATTTATCCATATACACTACAATAATAAAACAGAGAAGTTATGATGTGCTTCAAGATTTGTGCTATCATGTATATGGTACTGATGGCACTAACCTAATCAGCATCCCTCATTGGGATGTCCTCATGACTGATAGTGCCAGCTTTATATATTTCTTTAATAATTCATCTTGACTCAAAGAGAATTAATCATAACAATGTTCAGAATGTTCAAAATGTTCAGAATGTTCAAAATGGTCAGAATGTTCAGAATGTTCAAAATGTTCAGAATGCCAGGTATATGAGTAAGTAATTTCTGTTTGTTATGTAATTTCTTTCAGGCATTATCAAAAGAAAGAAAAAGATTTCAGAAAAATCCACAAACCTGATTCAGCACAGACAAGAGAAATGAAGGTGTATCCAAGGTAACCAATATACAGTAGATGATACCATGGTGATGACATCATGTCGTCTGGTTGTCAAGCTAAACTATGGTATATCTCTGATAATTCACAGTAAATATCACATATTTTCTATATTGATTATTTCTTTACTTCCTTATCTTTCTGCCCTCATTATACCTTCTACATCTTGGTCTGTAATATAAAATGCATACAGATTCGATATACTCATACATTATTTGGAGCTCATTCAAAATCATACAAAAGATGAACATTTTTTTATACAATTAATTAATTCTGTTGGAGATTCAACAATAACAAGATTTTTACTGATGATATAACATGGAAATGAAACGTTAATTAAAGAGATTTATCCTGATTCTCAATTCTAAGAATTCTATTACAATCTTTGTAAGGGTTAGAGCGTAATAGTCCGATGACCTTGAATAAGTCATCACTCATAATTCCAGTCGACCCAGCTGTAAATGTGTATAGATAATCCAGTAAAGATAGCCAAGAGGTTTGACCAAGGACCAGCTGGTAGAAAGGATCCTTAACTGTAACCTAAGTTGTTATCCTTGAAAAATATAGTTGTTCTTTTAATCAATTCCTTAATTTGTTTCAATACAATTGGGGCTGATTTTTCAATGAGGAAAATAGGTGGATAATCTGAGCATCATGGTCTCAACCTCCACATTCTCCCACTATATGTTTATCTTGAGTCATAATGGCAGCAGTTACTTCCCAAGATATAGCTGAAACATCCTCCAACTATAGAAGGGAATAGTGGAATTAGACGAGGTATGGTGTCCTGTGTGCATGATCGAGGATTATCGATACAGTAGAAAATAGATGACACGAATCGTGTTCCGTGTTTGTCGCGCCCAGACGCATACCTCATATGTTCACTTGTTCTATTTTCTACTGTATCTATTATTCGGCACTATACACCGCATCGGATATCAACATCGTCTATTCACAGGTTTAGACAAGGCAAAAATATACTTTATAATTTATCATAATATTTTGTTGAGGGATTGAAAATGTTTTATAAAAATTTTCTTTGAAAAACAGAAAGATAAATAAAATGGAAACCTATTACTCAACAATATAAATAAATTAGATATAAGCTAATAAAACTCTGAGTCACACTCCTACTGATAAATCAATGCAGATAAAAACTCTCTGGTCATTTCCTAAACTACTAGGTTATAGTCCACACTGATCAAATAACAATCAATATTCTAGCCTCCTACATTCATGTCCTTACCAGTTGTCAGCCTTCAAGTCCATTCCTACACAATTTATATTCAACTATTTAAAATTTATAGGCCATAGTTCACCATTTTGGGGAGTTTATTTGAGTCTTGAATATATGTAAAAAGTCTCTAGAACTACTAGAAGTGTATGAAAATCGCATGATTCTTTCAAAAATACAACACTACTATTCACTTTATATTTCTATATATAAGTCTTTCCCATATATGGCAGATTCTCAAGAAACGATGAGTCTTTAACTTTCAAATGCAGATAATTCTGGACACACATGGATTTGAAGGCTCAATTTTAGACGGTGAGCTGTTACTGATTAGCTTAGCTAAAAGTGGACAGCAAACTTGTCCCTTTAACACAGAAAATTCAGGTATTAGGTAAATCAAGGTCCATGACAGATTTTGGTATTACACTAAATTTTACCTGACAACAGGTTGGTAACCATGGTAATATGATGTAGGTATATATATATATTAGACAGTGGGTGGAATCATATCAACAGCTGGTTCATATCATTAATTATACTGATATATTTACATAGCTTTATTCATCTTTTTTATTCATTCATCAATCCCTCTCTCTCTGTAACACTTTAACTTTCTCCATTACCTTTCTATTGTTGTTTTAATCAGCCCACTAACTATCAGAATATATAAATATAGCCCAGGGGTGTTTTTAAGGGGTACCTAGTGACTGCTAAAGAATCGATTAAGTGGGCTCACAGGCTGGTCTTTCCCTTTGTTATGGACAGAGGTTGAGACAGCCTCAATTCTGGTGGAGCCACTCTAATATGCATACAACAATCAACAGTTCAAGACAAAATCCATCAAATTAAATAGTCTGTTAAACAATAAGCTAACCACTTAATAGAACTGATTTTAGAAACTTCCTGAATAAATCTCCCAAAATGCAAATAAAATTACCTTATACCACTTAACGATTCTTCACTTAGAATTCAAATATTCACCACAAACTCTTAGATTTACATCTGGTTTGGCTTTCGAATTTAAATTTATGAACTTATTTACTGTATAATTTGAATTGTTTATCTAATTAAAAGTTATCTTAATGTCCATAGTTTTCCTGGTTAATTTGAGGAAATTAATTTCAAAATTTACTTTTTCTCTCCATATTAAAAATTATTGAACTAATTTCAAGGATAGGCCTTTTGAGTGCATAATTTAACAACACATTTCTTCCTCTAAAATATTGCAATTCTAGAAATGGGATGAAATCTTGACCAATATTGATATACCACCAACAAAGTAACCACTAAATTCCATCCATTGCTTTTTTTTCAGATTCCTGTCTGATTTCAGTTCTCTCTCAGACCAGTTTTCCACAAGGACCACTGTTTTATTCTATCTCTCTTGCCCTTAAAATGAAGCAAAATGGAGTACCAAAAGTTTAGCTAAAAAGAATCAGTCCATAAAAATCATTCTGCATCTTTTTCAGGTTTCTCAGATACTCTCTGTGGCAAGAGTTGGTACCCCAAAGAAGTACTAGTATGCCAGGTCCATAATCTCTAAGCATTCTGATATGTTCAGATTTGTTATAAATACCAAGAAATAAAAAGTTCTAAGTAAATAACTGTAGAAATGAAAGTTATTGATCTTGAGATATTGATTGATAACAACATATGGTTTATTTCCTCATTGCCTTGGTATGTAATATATAGATTTCATAATATCACATTAATATAATATCACTCAGGTGAGAACAGGTGTTATTTGGTAATAAGCATGCTGGGTGGAGTACTGATAAAGGCAGGAGTTTGCTATATCCTCTGCAGGTCTCCTGCTGAGGAATTCTTTTTCAAGGCCAGGCCATTTTACTTTCTTGTTTCACAGATTTTTTTCTTGAAAAAGGCAGAAGTGAGAAAAAGAAAAAATTTGTGTGAAAAGCAGAATAGAAAAAAATTGATTGACCTGGATTTTTCTTCTTTCTCAGTATGGATTTAATCAAAAATCATAAAAAAAATAATGTCTTAGGGTGTTTGCTACAGCATGTAACGTTTAGTAAACACGGACAACTAGATGATTCAGTCCTTACCAAAATTATCAATTACACATGATTTCATCTTTTTAATTTTGATCACACATGAAATCTCAATCTCACTCTAACATCAAACGGAAATCAATTTGAATTTTACCATTGATTGTTAACATAGATTTTTAATTTTTGGCATAAGAGACAGTGTATGAATATCAAGTCCAATTTAATTGGCCACTTTTAGTTAAAGGGATACTACTAAGATAAATTTTAACTTGGCCAATAAGAGCATATTATATTCATCAGTAGATATACCTGGTGTCATAAATAACATAACAGGATCCTTATATAATCCGATAAATCAAAAAAACTTAATAAAAATGCAATTAACTATTGAAAAACGCTTAATATTATGATTAAGCATTTTTCAATAATTACTTAGTTTAATGAATTTTCCAATTTTCTAGATTTTAAAGGGATTCTGTTGTAACTTTATGACACCAGGTAAGTTCACTGATGAATATATACTCATATTGACCATTCTTGAGAATTAAATTTTATGTTCATTCTAAGACTTAGTATCACTTTAAGGGAAAATAAATAGCAAGTCAATGTGACTTGTGAATCAATGAATTTTCTTGTAATACTTTTAAGAATATAGCATGAATGCAAAGACTCCATCAATCATCATTGAGCATCAGAGATAAGCTGTCAAGATGAGCTACCTCTGATAACAGTAAACTAGTCAGAATTAATTCCCAAGACTTCTTATATCCACTCTTTTGATCAGTGGGAAATAAGAGCTGTCTATTGTCCACCTGACAAGAAAGTGGACTGATTGAATGCTTTCTGAATACTAAGAATTAATACTCTTACATTTCTTGTAGATTCTATCTTTGGACACTTATTTAATTTAGTGAATCATTATTATCCAGTCATGCAAATAAATTCTTAAGATTTTCCAGGATAGTCTGATTTAAACATGTGAAATAGTTTCTTCCATGTAAGTAGCATTTTAAATCCTGTCTTATGGCATAGCATAATGTCAATTCTTTTCATTTGAGACAAAAGCATCAAACAAATTTTGATCCATCCAAATAGATACCTTCATATTAACATTTCATACTATAACTTACAGGGCTGTTGATTTAGCTCTTTTAACCAGACATCCATGGTAAAATAAGACAAAGTTTGGGAACGATATGTCTCTTAAAAAAATAAGTGTACCACTTTTATTTCTCCAGCCACCAGAAAGCCCCCCACCACAACTTTCAAATTTAATATCATAGAGCACTTGAATGGCTGGTGTCATTCCCATGACCCCGAGAAGACCACCCACCAGTTACCCATACCCCAAGAAGATACATGTATATTATGCAATTTATATCACCAACACTGAGCCCCAGACCCCAAGAATTATGCAATTTCTATCACCAGACCCCAAAAATCCCTGCCTTTCTGAATAGTAATTGCTACTTTCAAATCAAATGTTTCTATATATTCCAGCAAATCAAACTTCGTAAAAGGTAAATTCCACGAAGGTCATAACAACCATGCAGTATAGAACTGTGTTTCTATCAAATCAATTTCTATTTTATGATTATTTCATTTCGTTTCTATCAATCTAGAATATTGTTATAGACCTAGTTCTACCAGTTCAATAATGTCTGGAACACTCGCCTAAACACGTCTGCCATTTTCATTCAAATCTAAAAACACAAAGGCTTTTTTCTCTCTCGAATGTTTATTGTTCCTTGGAGTGTCTGGTGCCATGTTTTAATGGAACCGATTACATGATTTCTGCTTTTCAGACTATAAAAACCATTCTCTCCAAATGACCATTTACCGCCTTTCAATGCCAAATTTGGTTCATTATATGTAATTCTTAGTTCAAATTGAGTTTTTCGGGATAATAAGAAATTTCTTACCTAATTCTCCTTACAGAACCCGTTAGAAAAATATTCCGTTATGAAAAGTCAATAGAATGAACGTGTAACAGCTACGCAACACATCTTCTATTTGGCACGCGCCAGGTAATCGATAGAAATACCGTGTTTTTATTAACGATAGAACATAAAAGGCAGACGGCTTCCACTCGAGGTTACATGGGTCATAACAATGGCAGGAATCAGGCCAATTATGATTCCTGTTTTCCTTATTTTCTCAAATTTTAAAGTTCATAGTACACTAATTGCAATCTACTCACCTTTACCGTTATTCCTGCCTATGACTCAGCAGACGAACTGACCTCAAGCTGGTTAAAATGGCGGCTATTTATTACCTTAGTAACATCTTCGTTATCATCAGGATTCACGATGCCAGATGTCTGCGGTGGAGTTTACCGTTACAAGAAATTCAAAACTTCCCAAATCTGTTGCTTCAGGCACCTTGATAATTTATTTCACTCTCACTCTGAGAGTCTCAGAATTACTTTAGATCAAACCATTACCTGATTGGATAAAAGATTCTTTGTGTCCAGTAAGAATCCGAAATCCTACTTCTGGGAATCAGGTGGTGCAGGGTAGATATTTTGAGAGAAATCGCGAAGTTGGTTTGATTTTAAAGTGGATAAGACAAGAAGGGAATCGTTGTAAGATATGAAATGTTACCATGGTAAATAAACGGTTCGTGCTCTTCAATCCTCAAATTAAAGAATGCCAGTATTTATCTCAGCTATAGGTCTGTTTATTTTGATAAACTCTTTAAAGTTTACCGATATTTAATGGTGCGATATGGAATTTTCAAGATAAATTCATGATCTCTCTAGTTAAGGTCGAGCTTTAATTCGATTTGATTCTGCAGCCTCAGTAGAGATAGATATTGAAACTAAAATTCTGAAATCGTGTCGTTCCTCATTCCTTATGCCTAAATAAACAATTCCAAAATCAAAGATTCTATTAATTTGATCAGAAAAAGTGACGTATCTCTTTCGTTTTGAGATTTGAGATTGGAAATCGAATTCATCTTTAAATTTTTCAAGACGTCTCTTTAAATGAACAGTGGTTCATATCCAACGGCTGGAAGTGTAATGTAATGACGTAATAACAACTAATTACATCAGATTGACCAGTCATTATCATGAATTATCAATGATATACTCAAGCCATATTATTCATATTGACCAACACATGTTTTAGTATTATCTTAAAGGGAGATATGACCAAATAAATTGCTGTGATTTTTGCAGAATTTTAGCTATATTTTGCTTTTATGGTTTACGATAAGAAAATCTCGACCTCAACTGTTAGTTCAATATGTTTATTAAAATTTCAATTTTGACTCATTTGATTTTGGACATATTACATTTAGAATATGAATATGAGAAGATTTTTAGAATCCTTTATCGAATCTTCTATCATCTTAACAAAGCCATTGTATGCTTTAATTTGTTCCCGCTTCAATGATAAAAGGGAAGTAACACCAGTATGACAATTTTGAGTTCTATACTGAGTTATCTGCACCTGATACTAGATGTCGTTAGTAGTATTAATAAACATGGAGCTGTCAAGTTGACTTGGAGACTGAAACCTCCACCAAATCTTTATGTAATTATAATCTTTATTTATCACCTAATTAGCAAATCATTTCATTGATTAACATTGTTAGCTCCTTGTTTCAAATTGAACTAGATCCAATCGCTTTCTGTTGAGAATTTGATCTAGGTAGATGGACAGAATCGAGGTTGATAGAGGTCTTTAACCCCATAGAATACTGAATAGATAGCTATAATGATAATCATGCCTTGGCTAATGAATTAAAACAATCAGACAAATGCTCTTTGTTATTGAAATTTGTCAACCTGTTCTGATATTGAACGGATATAGAGTCTCAGTCTAAATGTACATTATATATTGTTTTCTTTGCTAGTATGTTATTGAATAAACTTTTGATAATATAAGCAATTATTTGAGCTAAAGTTTAACATTAATTTTATGATTAGTGCTTGTATAGAACTTCCTTCTAAAACAAGACTAATTGGACTTATCTTAAAGGGACAGATTCGCTGTTCATTTGCCCTATTGTATCTTAGTTTCAGAAACAGAAATATTTTAGCTGAGCTATTTCAGCTCAAAGTTGAAATCTGAGCCTTCAAATCCATGTATGTCCAGAATAATTCACGTTTGAAAGTTGAAAGGAGAATTCAATTTTTCTTGAAATTCTGCCATATCTAGAAAAGACATATAGAAATATGTTTGAGGAAGTTTTCAAGGAGTTACTTCTGAGATCTAGATGATTGCATTTGACATTTGGCATTTAATTATAGTAATAAGACTGTTAATTAAGGTGAACCACAGTTCAATACTTACTATCATTGACCACTGACCAGTCAATAATATAAATAGTAACAATCTATCTTTATTAAGTTTTTATCACAATAAAATCATCTTTTTATAGAGCTAAGTTATCAAAGATAATTTATAATAGCTTTCCTAATCCAATTTTTTTATTTCAAGACTAATACCACTTTTCTCAAATTGTGGCTTTGTTTTTACTATAATCTGGAATTCAAATATTTGGATCTATCTGCCCATTTAAAAAACAATTGTCGATTTTGTATTAGGAAAATGTTTCAAAACTTTTATGTGATAGTACTATTTGGAAAACTCTCAAATCTATTCTGTACTATGTATGCCTATTTTGATAAATTTGTGATCCAAAAACAATGAGGATAGCCCATTATGTAGCGAGAGTCAATGTCAAAATTTCTCAAGTCAGTAATTTCTGACCAATGAAAAGTATTGCCTCAACAGCAATAACCTAAATAGATACATATGATCAGTCTATATTATCAAGGTAAATTTTAGTAGTAAGCACATTGAAAACAATTTTCTCTGGTTTGCATAGTTAAATAGCAAAGCAGTTTATCTCCAAAGTTAATTTATTAATCTTAATTAATTTCTGAATTGTTCTCAGATGTGATCAGATTTCATAGCTCAACTTTAAATGTATGGTTCATCTCCACGGCCATAGTAATAAAATACAGTAGTTTCAAATCTGATTGAATTTATCAGTCATCAAGTGAGCTAGATTAATCTGGTTTGATGTTTATTAGATTTCATCAGATAACCTTGTTAAAAATATTTTTTGTGGTCAAAATTGACACTGAATATTAAACAATGAATTGTGTCTCTGTGACAGGTAACTTTTTGTTGATACTACTAAGCTTTTGATCATCATTTCATGTACATTTATTTTATTTTATTATTATTTTATTTTATTTGTTGAAATATTCTATGTTGAAGAATTGAGTGATGGTGATTTATCATTTAAAACATTGGTATTGACTGTCCTTTATACAGGGAAGAAGGCACGTACATCATGTAAGTGATTTGTCTAGATGTAGAATGTTACAGTATTGTAACCTTATTAGTCAATTTTGATCATTTATTTTTTCAGATTGTTTGGATGGGTCAAGTGACAGGGCCATGGAACTGATGATGTTGGATGGTATCTAGTTAGTTTGACAAGATGGATTCAATAATATTTGATATTCACTAGAAAAGCAACACCTGAACTTCAGCTTTTTTTTGTTAAAGATGGATTTCATTTGTTTTTATTTGATGTACTGTAGTTGATTTTAGTGGAATTAGTTTTTACATTAGTTGTTTTATTTGTGTGATAAATTACTGTGATAGACTGAAAATGGCAGAAGCAAGTTTAATGTCACTGTTGGAGGCCATGTTGGCTCTTGCTGCACGTCCAGCACTAGTTACCAGACCCACAATTAATGTTAAGGCTGGGGGATATCCTGAAGAGTTATTTTTAGACATGTCAGAAGAGCAGAAAGAAGAAGTTGAATGCTGCATTTGGTAAGCATGTATTTGGTGATTCAAGACCTGTTTCTTAATGATTTTTTAAGTTATATAAAGTTAATAGGCTATTAAAAAACCAATGTACTAAAGTGCACACTTACCATTTTCTGATGAATACATGGCGTATTCAAATCGGATGTTCAAAATAGGACTGTAAATGATAATAATATAGACATTTGGCACTAGGGGATGATTAAGAATATGTCAAAGTTATTCTTTAATTTAAAAACTCTTTTTTTTTTAGTTATCAAGTTCTTAAAGAAGTGATGGAATGCCGAAATAAACATAAATTCTGTTACACCTGTATTCAAGTATGGTCAACTACTGGAGAATATCTCAATAGAATCAGATGTCCAGTCTGTCGCTGTGAAGGTCATTACTCACGCAATCCTGACCTTGATTTAAAAATTGAGATGAAACGTGTCAAATGTTCGATGGATGGATGTACATGGAAGGGTCTATTAAGATATTCTGGTACTCACAAACATTCCAATTATCAAGCTCAGTCCTCTAGCTCCTCCACTACACCAAATCTTCCACAGCTCAAAACTAATTCACAACGACCTTCAGATTCAATGTCAAGGTTACAGCCTCGTTCACTAGTAAGGTCAAGACTAACACCATCAACCAGTGACAGAAATAACAACCTTGTATCAAGATCCACTTCTGTTGATGCTGAAGCAGTAGCATTATCTCAAGAAATTAACAACAATGCATTCTTAGAATCAGAGCCCACATCTCCAATAGCACCCATCCCACCACAAACCCCACGGCCTTCAAATCTGACTCGTCGTCGAGTTCCAACTCTACCTTCCCTTGTCCACAACTCATCTTTAAGTCCACTGCCACCAGCAGTTGCCCCAGCATCAACTCAGCCATCTATTACAGGCACAGGTCTTCTGTCTCGAAGAAGAGCTAGTCAAGGTCAAGCACCAACGACCTTCAGTGCAGCATCTGGCAACCTTACCACAGTTCGAGATCGTCTGGTTGAGTCAAGAAATCGACTGCAAGGACTTGTGTCATCCTTTGGAGAGGATGATGATAGACAAGTACCAGAAGTTGAGACATTCCATGAAGAGCGGGAGTATAACCGGCAACAACAGATGCAAGAAGTACATGAACTTGGCAGACGTCTAGGTCAGGTTGCTAGGGAACTACGTGAGCTTTTGGATCATCGTAGAAATAATCGGTCTCAGAGCACCAGCAGCAGTGAAAGTGATGACTAATTATTTTAAGGTGCTGGAATCTAAATTATTATATAAAGTTGGATGAATATCTTCATTTTTTCTGGATTTTTGACAACTTATTTTTTGATTATATGCATTAAAGAGATAGCGTAGTGAATAAACCAGCATGATTTTGTTGAAATCATTTGTAATAATTACTTTCATTTTGAACTTGAATAGATCTTTATCATCACTCTGATGATCAGAGATTGACCAGAGCTTTTTGGAACAACAATCACTAGAAAAAGTTTTATGCAATTTTTGTGGAATTGCAGGAACCACAGACGTCTTATTGAAAATTGGAATGGTGCAAATTGATGCTATCAGTGCCCTGATACACATAAAATATTTGGAATACCTCTTTAAAAGACAAAATAGTGATAAAAGTAGCCCTATACAAGCGGTATGAAGGCTAGTTTCTGGATGTGGAATAAGCAGAATAACAAGTTTGAACTCAAAAAAGTATTATTTGTATCATATGAATTTGATATATAATCTTATTTTGTGTGCTGTGATATGTATATAGACAATGATTATTATTACTGTTATTAGGACAATCATTGTTCACTTCAGAATATAGTGAATTGCAAAAATTTAAATTAACTAAATTCAAATTCCATTAAATGTCTGTCTTGATTATACTTATCTCATAAAATACCAGCAAAATTAAGTGGTTTTTTTTTGTGCTTTGAAGAAATTGTGATAAGGTTTAGTGTAGATTTTGTTTTTGATAAACTTTGAGTATTTACTATATAGCATTGATAATTGCCTTTTGTTTTAGTTTTTCGATTAAAGGCATAAGTTAAAGTAGCCCAACAACCTTGGCCCTATCCAGTTCCAGGAGGTGACAATATCATATATGAATATCACGTTTGAAGATCTGGGTAGGTTCTGAGTTGTCATGCTGAGGTAAAAGAAGATTAAAGATGGTGGATGTGTTCCTCAATTTTTCTTTAAGAATGGGGCAAAATCTTATGAAAAGGAAAAGAAAGATGAAATAAAAAAGAATACAAAATGAATGGACAGAACTGTGAGTTTAATGACCCCAGATCAAACAACACCAAAATAGACAGGTAACAGATTGGATATAAGCTTTCTTTAAGATAGAAGAATTAATGTTTTGGAACTGAAATTTCTGAGATTTTTCTGTACAGGCTGTGGAGTCAGAAGTTTTCAGGTAGTGAGGGGACTGACAATATCTACCTTGAAATATATGTCAGTGTTTTTCCATTTGCAATTTTTCCAATTTCTACTCAAAAACATCAAATGGGAGAAATACATAATTCAGACTCCATTTGCCATGCCTATTTTGCAGTATCTATTTATTTTGTTGTAGTTATTAGTCATGTAGATAGTAGATAGAATAAGCAAAGGCATTATTTATTCAATTAGTTCTTTTTTTCTTCATAAAATTATCAAAGCAGCATATAAGCCATCCAGTATTGAAGAGTAACTTTTTCTATTAATCATAATTTTATGCAGTAATTATATATTTTGTTAGTACAAATACTCAGATTTTAGATTTGTTAATAGTTTAGTGTTTGAAGCACTTATCTATTAAAGTTCTTGTCTTGAAGGGACAGGTTCGCCATTCATTTGATTAATTGTACCTTAGTCTCAGAATTGGCAATTTTTTAGCCTTCAAATCCAAGTGTGTCTAGAATTATGTAAGTTAAACATTGTACGTAAAAAGATGATTAGTCTTTTCATTAGACTCTGCCATATATACGAAAGACATCTGTAGAAATAGAAAGAGAAATTCCTTGTTTGAGGTATTTTTGAAGAATACATTTCTAATACTTCTTAAGACTATTTACATATATACAAGACCCAAATCAACCCCAAAAAATGGCCAACCTGTCCGTCATAACAAATTGATGTTAGTGTTAATTGCCATCAATATATTTATAGGTTGATCATATCTGTTTCTTGTAATACCATATTTATATCGCTTGCTTTGTATTGGTATATATTGATACATATATAAGTATGTATTTTTTGTATAATGATATCAGTATTATTAGGGTATGCTATTGGTTGGTCACTCAAATATTTCAAGGCATGCATACTATGATTACAAACTTATTATAAAAGTATATTTCATTTGTACTTATGTAAAATTCTGAATAATATATGAAACAAATACCAATAACATCAATATTGTGGCATGAGCAAAAATTGAAGTGTGATATTAAATTGTTATTGAACGATACTTTAAAAAAATGTGATAAAGACTTTTTAAACCTCTGTTTTATATTTTTTCTCTGTTTAACCCATTCTGAGCCTCTATTTTATGTCTTCATTTCTTACTCAAGATTGTCTTACAAAAACTGCTAGATGTCACTAACTCAAAAGCCGTTAATGGACTTTTTAGCAGAATTCAAGAGTGAAAGCAGTCAGACTGAAAATTGAAATATTGCAAATCGATGCTCTCGATGTCCCTGATAAACATAAAAGTTAAGAAAACCTCTTTACAACCCTTTTAATTACGCTTTCAAACATAGTTGTGCCCTATGCATGATGACAACATATTGCAAAAATTGTAGACACATGTCATATGATTCATTACTTATTACTAAAATACCAAGTCATTAAATTAAGAATTTAATAAGGTAAAAGGTCAATCTGTTTACATAATTAATACATTGATTAATCCCTTGATTAACTCCTTGACCACCGTTTGTCGAGCAATTACACATAAAATTACTGTAGTCTGATATGAACTGAGTTACTCCCCTTCTCTAATATCTTACCTGTCCGAGAGATGGCGTTTCATAATTAATTATAAACGGTGACAGTTCGGCTGGCGTCAAAGGGGTCAAAATGGAGACTTTTATCATCTTGTCTTATCGCTTGTTTAGTTTTCTTGGATAATTCAAACAATTAGGATGGATATAGTTTGAAATTTATTACCAGGTAAAATTATAGAGAAATTTACTTCCTTATATGTTATTAAGTTAGTTGTTTTTAGCGCGGGCGTTTTCATTTCGTTGTGTTATGTACTAAATTAGGTCATTTGTGAAGAAAACTATTTTGTTTTGACTTGTCACGGCGAATAAATGTAAATACCTGTTAGAATTATTCAAATTTTTTCAATTTTTGTTCTCTGATTTACCTTTAGGTTTTATAACGTAATCTTTGATAAGATATAAATGGTCATATGATATCATAAAGTATGATTTAAGAGTGATAATGCCCCGTATAGGGTGTGGAATATCAAGTAAATATTCACTTTCTCTTTTGTTTACAGGTAAATAAGGTTTCAGAGGTTTTAAGTGTTGTTTATTTAGGTAGTTAATTAAAGTGTTTAATTAAGGGTTATTGTGTATATAATTTAATTAATTACGATTTTAGTGTTTAATTTAATTAAGGATTGTTGTAAAAAATGTGAGAGTGACTGATTTTAGGGATAGGAAAGAGTGACTAAATAATCAGTGACCTGAAAAGGTCAGGATTGACCTAAAAAAATAATGGCTTTTTTGAAAAATGGAATATGGATTAGAAATATTGGACTATGTTTAATTTTGGTATTTCTGTGGATTCAAGATACCAAAGAGGATGTCACTTTTACACAAACAGGTGAGTGAAATTATTTTTTTCTAAAATGATTTTTAATAATTACCTAATCTTTTCCTTTTAAAGGTATTTTATCGTCTTTTTCTAATCCTATCATTGTAACTTCCTCTTTATTATTTTAAATAATCTTCTTTAATCAACAACTTCCTATAAAATCTTAAATTAAAAACTTTACAATGGTACATTTTTAAATAGATTATAAGAGAAACACTCATTTGTTCATTTGTGAACATACGTTTTAAAGACACAGGACTGAAAGCATACTAACACACAGGGCATAGTCTGATACAGGATTTACATTGTTAAAGTGTTATAGTGTTCTAACATACAGGACATCTATATTTTCAATAAACAGGACATAGCTATTTAACACATGGTGCATAGCTTTACAGCATATGTGACACATAGCTTTTTAACACCATGTTCATAGCTTTAATATAGCTCTCAGAAGAACACAGATTTATAACACACTAAACATAGCTATAACACACAGAACATAGCTTTATAACACATAGAAAATAGCTTTATAACACATAGGATACATGTCTTTATGACACAGGAAGTAGCATTAAAACACATAGGATACATGTTTTTATGACACAGGAAGTAGCATTATAGCACACAGAACACAGGTAGAATAAGTGAAGAAAACCGTAAAAGCCAAACTGGAATATGATTGTTATCACACTTTTTGCCTTACAAAAACACAATTCATTTTGAAAAATAAGCTTTATATTGAAATCAAATTATTAGATAATATTTCAATGTTTTAATAGAATAAGGTAAGGACGGTAAACCAGGTTGTCAACAAGATTACACATGTAGAAATTGATAAGACACTCTACAACAACTGCAAGATAATAAAACTCTTAGTAGGTTTGTTATCAGCTCTTTAAGGACATAATGGTTGATAGGCGTGGTTTTATTACTCGGTGATCACATAGATCCCTATGTACATGTATATGAGTGAATATGAATAATTATCAAAAGAGAAAGAAAAATATTTAAAGGATCTTTCAAATCTTCTAAGATGTGAAACTATGTGCTACTAGATCACACATAATGGCTAGCTAGGCTATTTAATGAAGAAAAGGTTGTATAGGCATTAATAAAACCTTTTTCTGAAAGGCCAAATAAACATTATAAAAGTACTTAACAAGTACATGTACCAGAAGTAAAGAATGAAACTATAAAACTGATCTCTTAAATTGCTGTGTCCAGATAGCAGAACTGAGGGCAATTAGAACACAGTCAGAGAGTTTGAACTTTAGTTACTACATAATGTTCTACACTTTTTGGGGTATTTCTTTGATATTTTAAATGATCTTAAAACTGCTGATGTTATTGATGATTTGGTATGTGTTAGAAATGTAATTCATCAACTGATCTATGGTTGTAAAAGTGAAATGTAGTGGATGAGTACATGATAATTAATCTTAACCACAACAATGACCTACAATATAGTACCATGTTCACAGTGATATAATCTCTAGACCCTCGGGTCACATCTGATCATTGTCCTACACTGACCACAACTTGTCAACTCACTGACCAAAACAATAGGCTATTAGACAATGAATTGTTACTAATGTAACAACTTCAGCAGGTGGCTTTATTCATTCAGTGTTTAACAAGTTGTAGAAAGGTTAAAACTGCTAACAATCCTCTTAAAGGAGGTTTTATGTCTCTTTTCTGGTGGGATCAAAAGATCAAGAATTATCTAGGGAAATCCTTACTCAAGATTCACAAAATAAGTTTCCCATAGTCTCTCTAGTAGAAATAGGAATAGATTAATTTCATACTAAAGACTATTTACTTATATTCAAAACCCAAATCCCCCCCCCCCCTCGTATTAAAAAAGAAGAGGGTTTAAAGAGAGACAAAATCAATTGCACCTAATTTACCCATTTCAAATACTTTGTCTTGTTATTTAGGTATGTAGGACACTGGTTGAGCAACAAGGATCTAATTTTAAATGACATTTACCAGGCATGTCTTCTTGAGTTACATTATTATTAATTCTGAATGAGATGTCCTGGTTTTTATGTTTCTACACGCTCATGGTTGGCTTACAGCCATTTTGAACTTTTCTTGAATGAACAGTTTGAATTTTATATAGAAGTAGGATTAATTAAATCTAGTTTTTTAAGTTAAAAAAGAAATAAGAAATTACACCTTTGAAAACTGATCGTAAAATATATTTTGCATACATGAGAAGAAAGCCATTGAAAAATATTGACATAAAACTTGAACAAAGAATATTGTTGTATAAAAACACGGAACTATGTTTATCTTTATATTAAGCTCATTGTATGATATTTCAATGTAAGCTTTTGGCTTATTCGTAAAATTTAAGTTTTAAAGGATAGAAATGTTTGAAATGTTAGTTAACTTATTTAAAAAACAAAGTAAAATGTTGTAAATAACAGTTAAACCAGAAGTCCTAGTAGAAGCTCCAACTATCTTGAAATATGAGGCTAAAAGCAGATGTTAGGCAGAGTTTTTAAACAAAGGCAGTGATAATCATATTCACACAAAGAAACTTCAAACAATGGATTTGAAATACAAGCTATTAACTATCATTGTGGAAAGACTTGGGAGTTTATTACAAATTCTAAAAGATTTTTAAGGATTTATCATGATTGTGTGCTTATGCAAAGAATTTTCTAAATTCTTCTGGTCCAGTGTTCCACACAAAATCTTGCTATAAGAATTTGTCATTGAAAAATACCCTACATTGCATAATTCGCGATTGACAAAATTTTCCACTAAAGTATTCACACTAACTAAAACTGCTCAGTTTGATGTACATTGTCTTAAAATGATGGCTATCTTAGTACAACAATAATTCAACCACTTGGAACCTAGAAAGAGCTACTCCATTGTAAATATATGAATACAGATATAGATCTTTCTGTAATGGTGTTGATAGTTATTATTGTTCTAGTCTATTACATATGCAAACAAGTTGTTTACCTGATATGATATTAATTTCCCACTGTACTTTCTACAATATAGAGCTATTATTCTGCTTATTTTATCTTGATAGATATAAATGTGGGCATTCCATGCATTCAAGCATAGAATATTGCAGAAGTACATTGGTATAACATGTACAAATAAGAATAGTCCATAAATGTTTGTTATTATCCATTATTTCAGTTTATATTGTTTCGCAAGGCATCACCTAATGCCATTAATATGCATAGACAGTAGGTATTTATTTCATTGACTTGGTTGTAAACTTGACATTCTTTTAGAAGAGTCCACATGGCTGATTATAGCTTTGTATAAGCATAGCTTGGTTATTATATTCTATGTACCTATAAATGGGATAAAAACACAGCAAGTTTGACATAAGCAACATTTAAATCATGAAAATTAGGTAATTTGCTCTGAATCATAAAAGATAAAATATAAAGCTGATGGCATGGATATTCTCAAAACATATTGTTTTGTTATAAGAGACCAAAGCTTGGGTCAGCAATAGAATTGATCACAAAGATAAAGATATAACAACCTAGTTATATTAGCCTGAAACTTTCCTCTGACCCCTGACATTTTTTAAATATTAAAACTATTTTGTGGAAAATTTTCCAAGTAAGTTTTTTAACAGATTGTTTTCTAAGCAAGATTGAAGATACAGGAATAGCCTTCAAATCCTAGAGACGTATATCAGCAATTGCAAAGTTTTTCTGAAATAAGACTGCTGATAACTATTGATGTTTGATAAGTCAAAAGGTTTTGGACTATCATAATATTGTTAATTGAATTTTGAATTGATATCTGTTGAGTTAATATTCTGTTATCATATGTTATCATACTGTGCATTACTTATTGATGATTATGGCTTAATAACATTTTGACATAATTTTGCTGGTCAATAACCTTAAAAGGATGGGATTTATGTGATGTATATTGTATGGTACAAGATTTTGAATCAGTAGAAAATAGAAGAAGGAAATCATGTCCCTGCATCTAACTTGTTTATTCTCTTTCCTTTTGACAGTATCAAAAGTATCAATTACTCTGCAATGTACACTGTTTCTCATCTATTCCCACCTTAAGAAAGATAATGCATCTATCCAAATTATCTTCTTCATTTGCATAGTAATATGTAATGGCACGCTGCTTTTGTTTTGTTTACTTTCACAAACAAAGCGTCATTAACAAGTGATTTGTTCTGATTGGCTAAGATTATACTAGTAATACAACAGGGCCAATTTTGGACTGTATGTAGCTATGAAGACGTATTTTTTTTCACTTGTATTACCACTGTCTCGAGGAAGTATGACAAATGGGGGCGTGGTTTGTGAGTTGCGTTTGCCACTTTTATCATTCTCAATCATATGCAATGGTAATCGCTATGGTGTGTGGGCACCTTTAGATTTAAACTGCCTTATTATCTGTAACAGTTCTCATACAAAGTTTGATCATGATGCAATGTTTCATAGAGGATTAGGTAATTCATTTCTTTCTGAACAACTGTAAAATTGCTAATGACAACTGTATTTGTAATATAAAGCACACCTGCTGTAGTGATAGTGATATATCTACTTCTCTGTGTAATGGAACTTGTAAATTTTTGAGGCATGTTAAGATGTATCATTTGATTAATGAATTGTCAAAAAGCAAGTTTTATATCCAGTGTTAGTAAAACCATTACAAATAGAATACCTTCAGGCTAGTTGTGGTTATTTCTGAACAAAAGACATGTTTCTGACTATTTATTGTTAAAGTAGCCTACTAATTTTAATTTTCTACTCAGTACTAGAAAATGAAGTAATCAATATGAAGAAATGAATCGAAATAAACACACATATATATATATTATTGATTCAGTATTTAAATGCTAATATTCTAGGTAAGAGTCCTACTGTAGGACACAAGGTTTACTAAGCCTATGCCATGTGCTCAGAGTAAGGATTAGTAATGCTATTTTACAATTTTGTTACAAAAGATATAACCTGGCTTATTACATATATTCATTTAGACACATGGTA